CCAGCTTAGATGGGGAATTTTTTTTAAGGACTGAGAAAATTATCCATTGCTAGATTGAAAGATGAAGGATTTTATATATTGTAGTAAAATGGTGTTTTTCATATTATTTTGATCTCAAACTACAGTTAAGGATGTAGGGCTGGGGATATAGCTCAGTGGCACAGTGCCTGCTGGGCAAGTATGAGGTCCTGAGCTCGATTCTTGGTTAGCCCCACCGTGCCAAAAAAAAGAATATCTATCCTTGTTTATTTGGGTTTTTTTTGGAGACAGGGTCTCACTATATAGTACAGGCTGGCCTTTAAACTCACTGTGGCAGGCTGGCCTCAAACTCATGGTGATCCTCCTGTCTCAGCCTCCCAAATGCTCAGATTACAGATGTAACCACGTTTGTCTTCTAAGACTATATTTTGTATCATTATTCAGGATACGTACACATATATACATACATACATGACTGCAACAAGTTTGAAATATACATACATATATTTTCTTAATCAGATTTTATTGGCACATTTTATTTTATTTTTTTGACTTTTTGAGACAGGGTCTTGCTATGCAGTTCAGGCTGGCCTTGAGCTAGCTCGCTTTGTAGCCCAGGCTGGTTTCAAACTTGGAACAATTCTTCTGTCTCAGCCTCCTGAGTACTAGGATTACAGGGGTGTGCCACCATACCCAGCTTATTGGTGCATTTTAGATATACATAGTGATCACATGCATCGTAGAGAATTTGGACCTGTACGTTGTACACCTTTTTTTCCCCCATTCCTCTACCCTACTGTTTGTTTTTCTAAGACAGGTCTCACAATGTAGTTCATGCTTGCCTTGAACTCACTACATGGACCAGACTGGCCATGAATTCATGGTGGTCCTCCATCACACCCAGCCTTTATATATATTTTTACTGTCGCTATACTACCTTTTTTTTTTTTGAGACAGGGTCTCTATACAGTTCAGGCTGGCCTTGAGCTTACTTTGTAGCCTAGGCTGGTCTCAAACTCATAATGATCCTCCTGCCTCAGCCTCCCGAGTGCTGGGATTACAGGCATGCACCACGATGCCTAGCTATTGTGTCATACCTAGAGAAGTATGACACAAGCCTTTCTTCATCTTGTTAAAGAGCAGAAGATGCGAGGCAAGAGGCATGCACCATAACCTTCAAGGAACTCTGAGAGAGGTACACAGGCATAGGGGCCTCCTTGTGGCCTCATCTCAGAGGCAGTCCATCCTGGAACAAGTCTCCAGCTCCTTCCCCGAGGAGGGTCGTGCTGGCACTGGGGGCAGGTACATACCTTTGTGGGTCTCTCCAGCCAAAGAAGGACATGCAATATTCCCAGTTCTTGTGCACTAAACGCCAGTAGATCCCCTTGTCACTTGTGATGACAAAATGTGCTATTTTTTATTTCACTTTTATTAAAAAAGGTGATAAAAACCCTTAATTCGATGTCATAGTTTATTAATCAGTTAAATTCTGTAACTTGTAAAGCACTGGCTAGGCTGATCATGATTCCTGTGTTTTTTAGGTACGTCTGATGCTAGTGTTGGCACCTGTTATGTGCATTCTTTCTGGCATTGGAGTCTCACAGGTGCTGTCCACCTACATGAAGAATCTGGACATAAGTCGTCCAGACAAGAAGAGCAAGAAGCAGCAGGACTCTACTTACCCTATCAAGAATGAAGTGAGAATTAAGCAACATGAATAACATGCTTGGGAAACTGTACCTGCATGTGCGCATGTGTGTATGTTTGTGTGTGTGTGTGTGTGTATGTGTCTGCATGTACGTGGCTTTGTGTGTATTTGGGTTGGGAAGTAAAGTAGAACACTATCAGAGTGGTCAGAATTAACTCAGAGCTCTTGACTTACTGATTTTTTTTCCCCAGACTTACTTTGATTCATGGCATTTATATTATTGACTGTGTATAAGAAGCCATCCCGTGTTGTGTAAATTCAGTTTGGTTTATCGCACAATTCTTCCTTTTTTAGGTGGCAAGTGGGATGATCCTGGTCATGGCTTTCTTTCTCATTACCTATACCTTTCACTCAACTTGGGTTACCAGCGAGGCCTACTCTTCTCCCTCCATTGTGTTATCTGCCCGTGGTGGGGATGGCAGCAGGATCATTTTTGATGACTTCCGAGAAGCGTATTATTGGCTTCGTCACAATACTCCAGAGGTGAAAATTTGGGAGGAGCGGGATTCTGCTAGAGGGAAGAAGTGGAAGACATTTGTTATTGTAGTGACTCATGGCATTTGGGTGGGAGGCATGCTTGGAGGTAGTTAGAATATTAGAAACTTGGTTTTAAATGAGCTTTAGTGGCTAACCACCATTCAATTCAGGGCTTTCTTTCTTTCTTTCTTTCTTTCTTTCTTTCTTTTCTTTCTTCCTTTCTTTCCTTTCTTTCCTTTCTTTCCTTTCTTTCTTTCTTTCTTTCTTTCTTTCTTTCTTTCTTTCTTTCATTTATTTATTTATTTATTTTTTGTTTTTTGGAGATAGGGTCTTTCTCTGCAGTTCAGGCTGGCCTTGAGCTCACTTTGTAGCCCAAGCTGGTCTTGAACTTGCAACAATCCTCCTGCCTCAGCCTTCCAAGTGCTGGGATTATAGGCATGCACCACCACACCTGGCCCCATTTATTGATTGATTGATTGTCCAGGGCTTTCTTCTGTAGTGACTTTTTTTCATTTTTTGAGACAGGGTCTTGCTGTGTAGTTCAAGCAGGCCTTGAATTCACTGTGTAGCCAATGCTGGTGTATACAGCAATCCTGCCTCAGTCTGCCTGGTGCTGGGATTATAGGTGTGCGCTACCACACCTGACTTCTGTAGTGATTCTTAATTATCTATACTTTGCTTATGTACTTGTGTTGATATGGTGGTGATATCAATGTGGTATCAATTCCAAAAAAAGAAAAAGATGACTTTTTCCAAAAGAAGAAAAAGTTATAAATAATACATATTTACTATAGGAACATCAGAAAATGGAAGCAAAGCAAAAAATCTAAATCATCCATAGTTATCACCTAATGATAACTACTTTTTTTTTTAGACAGGATCTCACTATGTAGTTCAGACTGGCCTTGAACTCACTATGTAGCACAGCTGGCCTTGAATTAGTGGTGATCCTCCTGCCTCAGCCTCCTGAGTGCTGGGATTACAGATGTGTGCCACCACACCTGACTTGTTTTAACTACTTTTCAATGTTTAAAAATTTTTAAAAAATTTTCTTTTGCAAGGTTTAATGTTTATTAAATGTAGGAAAAGAAACATCTGCAGAGTGAGTGCAGGCCAATTAAAAGTAGGAAATTTAGTACACAGAATGAGAGCAGATCACTGTGAAAAAACACAGTGGCCAAAGTTTTGTTTTTTAGAAGAGACAAGAATTTACATAGATCAAGGTACAGTAGGAGAACTACTTTTAACATTTTAGCCTTTTTGTTTTTAAGCAGTTTATACCTTTTGAGGATATGAAGTGATTTGTTTTGCAGTAGCGATTGGTAATAGCCTTTGGGAGTTAGGTCTGGTAAGAGTCAAAATGTAAGAAGTTCTTCTTCGGCTGGGAATTGAACCCAGGGTCCTGCACATGCGGTGCAAGGATTTAGCTCTGATACCACCAATATCCTCAGCCCCCAAACTAAAAATCCTTGCTGTCACATCTTACGATTTCCATTTCATCTTTATAGCTGATTTTCGTGATGCTTCTGAAGGTCATTTACTTAATAAATTTACTTGACTATATTACATAGTCCCCTACACCTTCTACTTTCTTACCTAAAGTAATGTGGGGTGCAGGTCTTGGAAATGTTGGATTGTGTATAATTTGTGATGAGATTTCCTGATTGTATATAAATAAATGGAGGAGCGGATGCCAAGATTTATTGTCTGGTTGGGAGTGCATTATTTTGTGAAGAAAGTGACGGGTTAGCCAGGCTTCACCACCAGCTCAAAGATGCTTGTCCATTCCTTCTTTTACATTTGATATTTAGGGGAAATGAGAAAATTGTTTGTCATTTCCATTTTCCATTCTTCTTTCAGGATGCAAAGGTCATGTCGTGGTGGGATTATGGCTATCAGATTACAGCTATGGCAAATCGGACAATTTTAGTAGACAATAACACATGGAATAATACCCACATTTCTCGAGTAGGGCAGGTAAGGTCAAAGAGATCCTTTGAGTATTTGATACGTGAGGTCTGGTGGGAAATACTAAGACTTGGCTCTGAGAATTGTGCATTTACTTTTTTAGGCAATGGCATCCACAGAAGAAAAAGCCTATGAGATCATGAGGGAGCTTGATGTCAGCTATGTGCTGGTCATCTTTGGAGGCCTCACTGGGTATTCCTCTGATGGTAATGTACTAGATTCTCTTTCTAGCTGCAAGCCATAGAGTCTAAGAAAACAAACAAATCTCCTGTTTTTCTGTCCTTTTACTTTTGCAGTAAATAGGAAATGAATGTGAATCATTCTTATGGACGTAAGACATTTTATGACTGTCTAAAGATTTAGGAGTACTTCCACAACTTGTAAGAACTTCAGTACAAGGCTCTTAAAAATGAACTTCAGAATTAGTTTTGGGTGGGCATAGTGGCATATGTTGGTAATTCTAGCACTCTAGGAGACTGAGGCAGGAGGATCACATGTTCAAGCCCAGCCTGGGTAACCTAGTAACTTAGCAAGACTCTCTCACAAAAACCAAAAAAAAAAAAAAAAAAGAAAGGGTGGAGGATATAACTGAGTGTGAAGGCCCTGGGTTGTCTCCAATATGAAAAAAAAATGTAGCATTGTTCAGTAGATTTAAGCTATATAGTCATCTTCCAGCTTAAAGTGTATTTTAGGTATGTATATATGAAAGTATACACACACACACATAATGTATACATGTATCTGTACAGGCAGCCTTCTGTATCCATGTGTTCTGCAGCCATGGATTCAAACAACTGTGTATTGAAAATATTTGGGAAAAACTTGTATCTGTACTGAATACATACAGACCTTTTCTTGTCATTATTCCCTAAACAATAAAATGTAACAAATATTTGTATTGTAGTAGTTATTATAAGTCATCAAAAGATAATTTGAAGTGTATGGGAGGACGTGCATGAAATGCAAATACACTCATTTTATATAAGGGAGTACAAATTCTGTAAATTTTGTTTGTTGTTTTTTTTGAGACAGGGTTTTGCTATGTAGTTCAGGCTGGCCTTCAACTCACTATGTAGCCCAGGCTGGCCTCGAACTCACAGCAGTCCTTATGTCTCAGCCTCCTAACTGCTGGGATTACAGGTGTGCGCCCCCATGGCAAGCATGTGCAGATTTTGGTATCCATGTGGGCTCCTGGAACCAGTCGCCCACAAATATGGAGGAACGACTGAATGTATGTTACTATGTTCTCTGTGCTTATTGGCATGTGTTCCCACATTCCCTGTGATACTTGGCAAAATAGCTATTTCATGAGAAATATCCACATATAGTTTACTGATTTAAAAATTTTATCAAATTGAAGTAATACCTATTTATATTTTAAAAATATTAAACATGGGGCTGGGGATTTAGCTCAGCGGCAAAGCGCCTGCCTGGCAAGCTCAAGGTCGTGAGTTCAGTTCCTGGTACTGGAGAAAAACCAAAAAAAAAAAAAAACAGTTCTGAAGATTTATAATAAAAAATGATAGTGTCCTGCCCTTCAACCATAGTCTCTGTTATTAACATCAGTGCACACATTCAATAATTCCTTTCTTGAAATTTTTATTTTTATTAGTACATGTTCACGGTCATAACGGTTACATTGATTGTGGCGAGTTGATACATGCACATAACACATCTTAATTCTTTCTGTGTCCCTTTCACCACACCCCCTTTTCCTTTTCCCTCCATCTCATAATTCTTGCATTTGTGTCTTCTAGTACAAATATTATTTTTGCAGGGCTCGGGATCAAGCTCAGGAATTTGTGTACTAGGGTGGACCACTGAGCTGTACCCCAGACCTCATATTTTTAAATAATACGTATATTCTGTTACTCAGTGATTGATCAGTTTAGATATACTGTATCAACTTCTTTTTTTTTTTTTTCCTCTGGTACTGGAAATCGAACTCAAGACCTTGCGCTTGATGAGCAACAATCCTCCTGCCTCAGCCTCCTGAGTGCTGGGATTACAGGAGTGCACCACCATGCCCAGCTCTTCAATTTTGTATTTATTTCATTTCTCCCCCATTTTTTTTTTGGTGGTACTAGGGATTGAACTCAGGGCCTTGCATATGGTAGGCAAGTGCTCTACCACTCAGCTACATTCCTAGCTCTCTTTTTTCATTTTCTTAGTATGCATTTTTAATTTTTGGTTAAATCCACATAAAACTTTTTCAAAACCATTACTATGTAAATACTATTTACTGCAGAGTCAACCAGTACTCTGTGGTTACATTCTTATCTTGAATGACTTGTTTTTCTCCAGTCAATAATTACATTATATTTCTATGTTGATTTTCTTTAAGTAGGCTGGGCATGGTTGTGAACACGTAGTGACAGCTACTTGGTAGGTTGAGGTGGGAGCACTGCTTGAGTCCAGGAGTTTTTTCTTTTTTTTTTTTTTTTTTTTTGGTTTTTCTCTGGTACCAGGAACTGAACTCACGACCTTGCGCTTGCCAGACAGGTGCTTTGCCGCTGAGCTAAATCCCCAGCCCTGAGTCCAGGAGTTTTTGACCAGCCTAGGCAAGATAGTGGGACTGTGGCTTAAAAAATTCGTTTTTCAGATTATCAGATGTAAGAATGCAAGATTGATCATACAGTTTGTTTCTCTTCATTTTTTTTTTTTTTTTGGT